GGGCAGGTGACAACAAAGCAAGAGCTTCTTCATCAAACACAGATTTCAGGCTTTCTAATTCCTGAAGATTCAATCTCTCAAGAGTCTGAGGTGGGTAGAACCATGAGCCAAAAACATGCTTCAGATCTGAGCAATACATGATTGTAACCTCTTTGATGGAATCACATACTAGTACTGCACTTGAGCTACAAATGCACCTCAATGTGGGCAGCCACAACAATCCCAGCGTTTTTAATTTTGGAAGAGTGAGTTTGGAAACCCTTCCGCTTTCTTCTTCCTCTGATGCAACTATCTCCTTCATTTGCGCACAATCCCTAATGTCAATAGCTTCTAGATTCTGGAGACAGCTAAGCAGCGACCTAGGTGAGAACAACTTCTTCAATTGATGACATTTGGCAATGGTAATGCTTACAAGAGGGGAAAAGGTGGTGGCAGGAGCAGGTGACAACAAAACAGGAGCTTCTTCATCAAACACAGATTTCAAGCTTTCTAATTCTTGAAGATTCAATCTCTCAAGTGTCTGAAGTGGGTTGAACCATGAGCCAAAAACACGCTTCAGATCTGAGCAATACCTGATTGCAACCTCTTCGATGGAATCACATACTAGTACTGCACTTGAGCTACAAATGCACCTCAATTTAGGCAGCTGCTCCAACTTCAGCCTTTTTAATTTTGGAAGAGTGAGCTTGGAAACCCTTCCACTTTCTTCTTCTTCTTCTGATGCTATTATTTCCTCCAACTCTCCACAATATTCAACCTTAATCTCTTCTAGATTCTGGAGGGAGCCAAGTAGCAACCTTGGCGAGAACAACTTTTTTATCTTAGGACAAAATAAAATTTTAATGGTTTTGAGAGAGGAGAAAATGGTTGGTGGTGGTGCTGACTTGGCAACAACTTTTACTTCAAATAAGGTATTCAAAATTTTCATATTATGAATCTCTAGAAAATTAAGGCTTGGGAGTGGGTTTAACCACGAAGAAAGAACACACTTCATGCCTTCACACCCAGAAATCTTGCATTGCAGCAAGTTGGTTGCATCTTGAAAGCCAGAAATATCATTTAAGCTTCTTACATCATTGCACTCTTTGATACCCAATTTTTGGACATCGGATGGGAGCAAATTGGGTTCTCCAAAAATCTGAGCATCAAAGAACTGAATAAATTTCATACCAATTGGCATGCTATCCTCACCATCAGATGATAATATCTGTCTTCCCACGAAAATGTTGTACCAGCTCAGACAATCTCTTCGAGATTTGAAAAAGATGCCCATATCATTAGTAAGGAATCTGCCGGTAAAATTTTCCAACTTCGACAATTTTCCACTCTCCATTTTCCACGGTATTCTATAATCAACACCTAAAGTTTGAAGTTTGGAGAGATTTGGTAGTATTCCATCAGGTATTTTAGGCAGTACTTCACTTATCACCAGTTCACTAAGATCAAGATATTTCAGATTAGTTAACAATTCTATGCCATGAGGAAGCTCTTCAATTGTTGTACCACTAAGATCTAACTTTTTCAAGGCCCCAAGATTCGATAGAGATGGTATCTTTCTTAATTGCTCGCATGCCTTCAGCAATAGTGTAGTTAGATTCACCAGTTTGGAAATGGAATTTGGCAGGCTATGTAGCTCATCATTGTACGAAAGATCAAGAATCTTGAGCCCAAGCATATGATCAAAGAAAGATTCCGGAATTGTTGACAAATTGTTTACAGACAACAACAAGGTGGTAAGCATCGGACAGTTTGGAGATGGCAAGCTCAAAGGAATTTCTTCTATATAGTTATACATTAAAGAAACCTTCAAAAGATCTTCTTTCCATTCATGCTCCTCTGGTAGCTCCCTGCCAGCTTTCACCAAGAATCGTGGGCTTTTTCTTGTGATCTGCAACGCCATATCTCTAAGCAAATCATGCACCCTCACACATTCTCCTTCAAATTCATCTTCAGTGAATTCCAACAAGCAGTTGTCTTCAAGCTTCTTCAAAATATCATGGCCTTTATACTTCATTGCTTGTCTGGTTTGCATTTCCTCTATAAGTCCCTCCTCAATCCAGTATTCAATTATCTCATCTTTTGGAATTTTATGATCTTCAGGATATAATGCACAGTACAAAAAACAATGTTGAATTTTTTCATCTTTCAAATGGTCATAACTAAACTTTAATATGCCAAATTTATCAGCCTCTGTACCTGCCACCGTTCTTTTGTGTTCTATCAATTCATTCAGAGCATTCTTCCACAAACGTGGGTCAGAAATTCCTTTCATGCTACCAGCAACTGTAACAATTGCTAAAGGAAGACCAGCACATTCATCCACAATCATCGTCAAAGTTGATCCCAAAGTCGGTGACAATAAAATGTCATTTCCAACTTTATCCAGGAACAATTTTAATGCTTCATCACTCTTAAGAGGCTTCACATCAATTATCACACATCCCATTGTTCGAGCAACCTCTTTCGACCGTGTTGTCAAAACTAACTTGCAACCATTGATTGCAGTTGGCTCCGGAACTCCTACCTCTTCAAGACTGAATCTAGTCCACACATCATCCAGAATTAACACAAAAGGCTCCTGTTTCTCTAAGATTGCCAATAGCTTTGCTGCACGCCGAGTAATATTATTATCCACCAACTTTTCGTTCAATCCACTTGCAATGTCCTCTTGCAATTTCCCAATATCAAACTCTAGTGATACAGTAACCCAAACTATTCTACGAAACAGTCCACGAAACTTGTCCTTTTTCAAGAGTTCATTATGGATGTGCTTCATGATAGTTGTTTTCCCTATGCCGCCCATTCCACAAACTCCAATCTTGTTAACCTGATCACCCTCCAAGTAACTCCAAATTTTCTCCTTAACATATTCCTCACCTACTAATTCGGACGTTGCCAATGGAACAATTGAGCTTGAGGGATCATCCAGTACCACAATCTGAAGAGAATTTCCTTTGTCACATAGCAACTTCATTTCTTGAGTTTTCTCCTTCACAAGCTTTCCTAGGCAAGCACGCGAGAAATATTTCCCTCTTCTCACTTTATCTTCAACCCTCTGAGCATCTTTTGTTATTTCCACCACATCTTCCAGCCATCTTGTAACTTGTGGATTTTTTCTTTTACCAAAATGAAGCTCTGCAAGCAATCTTGATTCAACTTCATCCTGCTGGTCCTTCAGATCTTTTTGTAATCTTTGGAAGTTAGAAACAAAGTCCTTGAGTTTTCGGTGATATTTCAGATATTTGCAAATTGAGGGGCCAGTGAACTCTAAAACTTCAAGAATTGGCCCAATGAAGTCCATTTGGTAGTCCTGCATTAGATTATCAGGTATCAAGTTTTAGAAGCCTGGATTGAAAATTGAAATGGCAATAAAAGATCAGAATTCAAAATTAAAGAGTTTGATATGGGAAGTTATAAATCAACTATGCCAAAGAACTATGAATTGAGATAGCAAAAATGAAGGTGATGAAAAGAACAATGAGAAGTTAAGAAACTACCTCAGAACTGATATAAAAATAAAACAAATCTACCTCAGAATTGTTTGGAAAACAAGAAAAAAAGGAAAGCACCATCCAAACAGATTGTTCTGTCTCAGAATTACAAACTATCCGTCATGCTGCCTATAGCTACTACTTTAGGTCAAAAAAAAACAAATTGGCTAGTCAGATATAGATTTTGATAATGAATTAAAAATTTTTACCTGACCAAAAGGCTAATGCTTCTTCAAATTGTTTTAAGAAGATAGAGAAGGGGCTGCAACTTTGTAGTAGATTAACCACAATGATGTAATCTGGAGGAAAAGAATGCAAACATATATCATTAGTCTATATGGCTGATAAAAAAAATAAATTTTTACTGATTAGTATGCATGGTATTAAATGCAGTAAAGAAAATAACTTGAAAATTTTTTCGGAAATTGAAAAGAAAAGCAAAATAACTCAAGATGTTAGCCAAAGAACATAAATAGAAAAAAAAAAAAAAAACCAAAAAAGAAAAAAACTGCAGTTTTATAAAAAAACAATATAACTTTAAAATATGGTTTTCTATTTTGATAGCATCTTGTCCATCACAACTCAACATATTAGCATCCTTTAAATTCTGCCAGTTTATACTGTATGACAGGTTTATTTTAAGTTCCATCAATCTAGGTTTGTATTATAAAAACAAATGCAATCAAAGAAGAAGGGATACAAAAATTCAGAAACAAATGGAAAACAAAATGAACCTGGTTTGGATGGCCCTTTCAATGTCTGAGAAGGCAGTCAAAATGGAGAAAAGATACGTAGCAAACTTCACCAAACTGGTCTTAGAGATGGATGTACATGTATACTAGTTGATATCCTTTGCTTACTGCTTTTCCTGAGATCTCATACCTAACTCTTAGTGAGTTTTTGAGAATAGAAGATAAAGCACAGATATGAAACCAAGAATTACAAGTAAAAACAACCAACTATAAATCTAATTCTCCATTTTAAGGAAAGGAAACTAAAATGTAGAAAATACACTTAGATTTTAGGCCAGACCCAGTAGGTTACACCCAAACTTGTAAGTTTTAAGGAGTTTTTCACCCCAACGCAACATCGAGGGGCAATAACCCTTGAAACTTACAAGTTGAGGGGCAAAAGTTTGGGTTTGGCCTAGATTCTAATCCTTTCCAAGAAGGAGAGTATAATTCAAAGAAATGTTTATGCCTTGAGCTAAAGCTACATAAATAAGTCAATGAAGTAACCAAGTATCCCAAACCAAGCCATATGAAAAGGCATAAATAAGTGAAGTGCTATAGAATTTTAAAAGCTATTTTTTTCTTCCTTCAGAACCAGAGAGATATATTACACTAATCTCAAAAAAACAACCCTAGACCAAGGACTATGTAGCATTCATTTGAGAAACTAGATCAACCACGGCAAATAAAAGTAAATGTTATACTGAAATGCATCATGTAGCTATCCTAATGCAGTATTTGCAAAAATGCTATCGTCAAATTTCTTCATCCATATTTTTGCCGGATAATTTATAAAGAAATGTTTAGAGATTATGAGTATAAATCTAATTCTTAGAGGGCGATGACCATAGAAATGTTTTAGAACATGAAGCAATGTTTCTAATCAATAAAACCATATACTATACTGAAATCATTAATATATACATTGGAAACATGAGACATAATTTGAGTTGTAAAATACTTTATGGAAGAAAAAATCTACCTGGTTACTCCAAATAACTGAGAGCAATGAAGGAAAGGGCGTGCGTTGTTTCCAGGACTTCCTCAGAGAAACAGCTTGAATGAAACCTCTCTCCTTCAAAGAATTAGAGAACATATGCAGCACAAAATACGTGTCAGCTTAATGTAAGTGCTGATTTTCAGCAGATTTAAGTAGAATGAATGCAACAAGGGATATCAAGATCAAGAATGATCTATTATAGGTCCAAGCATCCATAGGAATAGAAAATAGATTATAGATAAACTGAAATGAAATTAGAGAAGCGAAGATACGTTAGTGTGGCTTGTTCATTGCTTCTGAAATTTGGTTAATTTTTATTCAATGAGTTTTGCAAGGATTGAGAAAATAGAGCACAAAAATGAGATCAAGAGATAGTTGTGCAATCAACCTAAATGCTACCAAGACAAGAAACTCTGAAAATGAAGCAGCAAAGTACTTTAATTTAGATCCAAGGGTCTGGGGTTAGGTAGAGAACTCTAATCCTTTCCAAGTGGAGTATAATTCAAAGCAATGTTTCTGGCATATGCTAAAGCTAGATAAATAAGTAAAGGAAGTAACCAAGTATATCACAAGGCAGACCTTATAAAAGGCAAAAATAAGGAAAGTGCTAGAGAATTCTACAACCTATTTTTTTTCTTCTTTTCTGAACACGAGAGAGATATATCACTATGCTTAATAAAACAGTCATAAGCCAAGGAGAATCTAGCATTCATTTGAGAAACTAGAAAAATTATGGCAAATAAAAATAAATGCTATGATTGAAGGCATCATGTAACTATCTTAATGCAACATTTGCAAAAATGCTATTGTTGGATAATTTACAAAGAAATGTTCCGAGGCCAATGAGTATAAATCTCAATAATAAAGGGCCGTAACAATAGAATCATTTTAGAACATAAAGTAAGTTTTCCAATTACCTAACCCATACACTAAACAGAAATTATTAATATGATTTTAGGAGCATGAGACATACTTTGAATTGTAAGATGGTCTATGAAAAAAAAAAGTGCACCTGCTTACTCCAAATAACCGAGAGCAATGAAAGAAATGATGTGACTTGACTGGTTTCAACGACTTCCTTGGAGAAACAGCTTGAATGAACCTCTCTCCTTCAAAGAGTTAGAGAACAAGTGCAGCACAAAATACATGTCAGCTTAGATTTTCTGTAGATTTTAATACATTTTCAGCCTAGACATACTTAATAGAATGAATGTAACAGGGGATATGAAGGATGAGCTATTATAGGTCTAAGAATCTGTAGGAATAAAAATAGATAATAGAAATGCTGATATGTATGCCTAAGAAAAGTGAAGATATATTACTGCATCATGTTGCTCGCTTCTGAAATTTTGGTTAATTTTATTCAATGGGTTTTGAAGGATTGAGAAAATAGAACACAAATATGAGATCAAGAGATATTTGTACAACCAATCTAAATGTTACCAAGATAAGAAACTCTTAAAATGAAGCAACAAAGCATTTTAATTTAGATTCAGGGCTCAGTGGTAAGAGAGAGAAAATAGGACATAGATTTAATTCTTAGCTACTTTTCTACCTTGCCAGACAGCTACAAAATTGTAATACCTTCAAGCAATGGAATATTAAATTTTGGCATTTGGTTTTGATAATGAATTAAAAAATTTGTACCTGACCAAAAAGCTAATGCTTCTCCAAATTGTTTTAAGAAGATAGACAAGGGGCTCCAACTTTGCAGTAGATTAACCAAAATGATGTAATCTGGAGGAAGAGAATGTAAGCATATATCATTAGTATGTATGGCCAATAAAAAATATATATATCATTACTCATTAGCATGTATCGTATTAACAGCAGTAAAGAAAATAACTTCGAAAATTTTATGAAATTTGAAAAGAAAAGCAAAATAACTCAAGATGTTAACCAAAGCAAGGGACATAAAGAACACAATTTTTTAAAAACCAATGTAACTTTAAGATATGGTTTTCTATTTTGATATCATTATGTCCGTCACAACATATATACTAGCATCCTTTAAATTCTGCTAGTTTATGATAGGTTTATTTTAAGTTTCATTAATATAGGTTCTCATTCCAAAATGAATGCAATCTAAGAGGAAGAGATATTAAAATTCAGAAACAAATCGAAAACAAAATGAACCTGGGTTGGGTGGCCTTTTCAATGTCTGAGAAGGTGGTCAAAATGGAGAAAAGATACGTAGCAAATTTCACCAAACTGGTCTTAGAGATGGACGTAGATGTATACTTGGTGGTATCCTTTGATTACTGCTTTTCCTGAGATTTCAAATATAGATCTTCCTCAGTGAGTTTTTGAACATTAGAAAGATACAGCACTGACATGCAACCAAGAATTATAAGTAAAAATATCAAACTAAAATACTAATCCTCCATTTTAAGAAAAGGAAAACAAATATAAAGAAAATACACTTGGATTTTAGGCCAAACCCACTAGGTTGCGTCCAAACCTGCTAGGTTGCGTCCAAACCTGCTAGGTTGCGTCCAAACCTGCTAGGTTGCATCCAAACTTGTAAGTTTTAAGGATTTTTGCCACTCAACTATAACAGTAAGGAGCAAAAACACTTAAAACTTTCAAGTTCAGGGGCAACAGCTAGGGTTTGGCCTAGATTCTAATTCTTTCCAAGATGGAGAGAGCATAATTCAGGGCAATGTTTATACCATACGCTAAACCTAGATAAATAAGTCAATGAAGTAACCAAGTATCCCAAAGCAAGCCATATGAAAAGGCATAAATGTGTGACACATGAAAGACAAATGAGTGAGGTGCTAGAGAATTCTAAAAGCTAATTTTTTTCCTTTCTTGAAGACCAGAGAGATATGTTAAACTAACCTCAGAAAAACAGTCATAGGCCAAGGACTATGTAGCATTCATTTGAGAAACTAGATCAACTATGGCAAATAAAATAAATGTTATAATGAAATGCATTATGTAGCTATAATGCAACATTTGCAAGAATGCTATGGTCAGATTTCTTCATCCATATTTTTACAGGATAATTTATAAAGAAATGTTCAAAGGTCAATAAGCATAAATCTTTCTTGGAAGGCTGTGACCATAGAAATGTTTTAGAATATGAAGTAATGCTTCCAATCATCAAAACCATATAGTAAATAGAAATTATTAATATACATATTGGGAGCAAGAGAAATACTTTGAATTGAAAAAATGTTTATGGAAGAAGAAAAGAACCTGGTTACTCCAAATAACTGAGAGCAATGAAAAGAAAGGACGTGCCTCAATTCAAGGACTTCCACAGAGAAACAGCTTAAATGAACTCTTTCTCCTTCAAATAATTAGAAAACATATGCAGCACAAAATACATGTCAGCTTAATGTAAGTGCTGATTTCAGTAGATTTTAATAGAATGAATGCAACAAGGGATATTAAGGATGAGCTAGTATAGGTCCAAGCATCCATAGGAATTGAAAATAGATTATAGATAAACTGAAATGGTATTGGAAAAGATATATTAGTGTGGCTTGTTGATTGCCTCTGAAATTTCAGTTAATTTTTATTCAATGAGTTTTGCAAGGATTGAAAAAATAGAGAACAAAAAGATCAAGAAATATTTGAACAACCAACCTAAATGTTACCAAGACAAGAAACTCTGAAAATGAAGCAGCAAATTACTTTAAATTACATCCAAGGATCTATGGTAAGGTTGAGAATTCTAATCCTTTCCAAGGAGACTATAATTCAGAGTAAAGTTTATGGCATATGCTAAAGCTATCTAGATAAAACGTTTGCAAAAATGCATCATGTAGCTATGTAAATGCAACGTATACAAAAATACTATGGTTGGACTTCTTCATGCATATTTTTGCAGGATAATTTACAAAGCAAGGTGCAGAGGTCAATGAGTATAAATCTCAATCATAGAGGGCTATGACCATAGAAATGGATTAATTAGAACATGAAGTAATGTTTTCAATCAACAAATTCATATACTAAACAGAAGTTAGTTACTACACAAATTGGGAGCATGAGACATAATTTGAATTGTAAAATAGTTTATGAAAGAAAAAATGCACCTGGTTACTCCAAGTAACTGAGAGCAAGGCAAGAAAGGACACGCCTGGTCTTGAGGACTTCCTTGGAGAAACAGCTTGAATGAACCCTCTCTCCTTCAAAGAATTAGAGAACAAGTGCAACACACAATACATGTCAGCCAAGATTTTTAGTAGATTTTAATAGCATGAATGCAACAAGGGATATCAAAGAGCTATTATAGGTCCAAGCATCCGCAGGAACACAGAATAGATAATACTAATAGATATAACAAAATGTGTGTGTAAGAAAAGTCAAGATATCTTAGTGTCCTGTTGATTGCTTCTGAAATTTTTGTTAATTTTTATTCAATGAGTTTTGAAGGATTGAGAAAATAGAGCACAAATATGAGATCAAGAGATATTTTTACAACCAACCTAAATGTTACCTAGACAAGATACTCTGGAAATGAAGCAGCAAAGCAGTTTTCTACCATGCCAAGACTATAAAGTTACAAAATTGTAATACCCTCAAGCAATAGAATATTAAATTTTGGCTTTTGGAGGATTGATTTCCTCTGAAATCCTTTCTTTCTCCATTGTTTAGGAGTGGTTGCTTCTATTAATTTTGTAAGATAGAAAAGACAGAATGCTGATACAGATTTCAACACGATGAATGCAATCTTTTTTTTCTTTTTTTTGATTGGCAGAATGAATGCAATCTTAGAAGTACAGAACTAAATATTCCTAACAAAAGGAGAAATACACATACCTGGTTCAGATGGAATACAAATGTGCTGAAAAATGGTCTTTGTAATTGATTTCAAAGTAGTTTAGCTGGTTTGTTGTTTTTCTTTCCTGGGGTCTTTGGGTAAATATTGTTACGTGATTCTACGGAGATTGAGAGGATAGCGCATAAATATAAAGGCAAGAGATATAATTGTTTGTAATCAACCGAGATACTAATCCTTTATGACAAGAAAAGCAGAGTTTAAAATGAAGCAAAGAACTCTTGGATTCTTACCCTCTCCAAGAAGGAGAGTATTATCCCAAAGAAAAAGAAAAAAAACGCAATATGCCAAAACTAGGGAAACAAGTAAAGAAGTTAGCCATGTATCCGAGAAGCAAGGAATTAGAGAAATTGGAAATGAAGAAGTAAAGAACAAAGACCACCAGAAAGAAGAAACAGAAAACTGTCTTACAAGAAAGGATTATATGCAGTTAGTATTATAAAATTAATTAAATATATTTTTTAAAAATAATATAAAAATAAATTTAAAAATATTTAAATAATTTTATAAGGTGAACGACATCTAATCTACCCGTAAAACAGTTTTACCAATAAGAAAAGGATGTAAAAATCACCTGCTTTGGAATTATTTTTCATTTTTTTTATTTTTTTTACTTTCCAAAAGTAAAGGATACAAAACTTCATTGAATACAAACTGAGTTCCAATCAAAGACTAATAAAGTATTGAAAAAAAGACAGGAAAATTTTCAATTCGAACGGACTGGAAAATTCCACTTATGTCGTTAATGAATGAAAGCTTTTGAATATTACACAGGCGGGGGCCTCATTAATGGAAAAAGAGGAAATTTCGGACCAGACTAGCAAAATGTTAGCAGTGTAAATTCAAACATTAATTCATACCAGTTCATACTGTAAGTCCATTATGTAGTGATCTGACTTCTAATTTCCGATCAAACAGTTGATAACATGTAGATTGACAGTCAATTAAAAATGGTTTTTATCTTGCTTAATTACATTAAAATTCTTGAAGCTTTAATCTCTTCTTGGTGCTTAAATATTTGGAGAAACATGAATCAACAAATAGAAATATGAAGACAATAGATGGCACATGAAACAAGAAAGGGGCTTAAAAGCTTCCACTCCTCAAACAAGATCACATCTAACTTTAGTACCTAAATATGACTATACTGAAAAAAAAAAATTACTTCTATCAATAACATATTAGTTCAAGCATTGATTTAAATAGAAAAAATCTTATTTTCTTTAAACAAAATTTTAAATTTGAGTAATTGTCTTCAGTATCTTTTATTTCATTTTTTTCGCTGTAATAAAGATTTATATTTTAAGGTAGATGTTAAAAAGTTTAACTTTCTGGCAAGTTTGCTTTTGTGGGACTAAATTGATTTGTACCGTCAGATCAGAGGTTGAAACCCCGCTAACCCCTTCCTCTCCCCTCCCAACCGGCCATCGGTTTCGAGATGATAACGGATGTAACGATCCACCACACACACCCGGTTAGTGTCCGATTAGTGTGTTTGAACTTTTAATAAAAGTTTTACTTAAAAAAAATTATTGTAGAAAAAATAATTTTTAATATAAAAAAATAATTAAAATATTTTAACATTAAAAATATCAAAATATTAAATTAAAATCATTAAATATATAAAATAAAAAATATAACTTAATTTTATCATATTTATCACAAAATTATTATTAAATATTTTAATATTTTTAATATTAAAACATTTTTATTTTTCGAATGACGTGTTCCAGTCCAATAACATTGAACCT